GGACGTCTCACAGTGTGGTCCCCTCCAGTGTGCATCCTGCTCCAATTTCACGGCTTGGTCTGGGCTGCTGGGCAGCACGGCCCCCCCGCCCAGGCACTGTGCGGCCGCTGAGCACAGCGTGCCCGTGGAGTGGTGCTCGCCGAGCTGTGGCCCTCGCTGCGGGGAGCGGAAGGAGCGGGATGTTCAGTGAAGTCTCTTGCAGGATGTGCGGGATCAGTGCCCTTCAAAAAAAGCCTGCATGGTGCGCTGGGTTGGCTAGCCCTGGGCAGGACATGACCCTTCCACTTCCCCTGCAGGTGATGTTCTCCTTCGAAGCTGGCAGGCGCTGCGACTCCGGCCCAGGGAACTTCACCTTTGAGACCAAGCAGGGCAATGAGATCTTCCGCCTGGTGGAAGCCTCCATCCGGGAGCAGAAAGCACAGGTGGAGGAGAACCGTCAAAGCTGTGACTCGCTGGATTTGGACAGCCCTGGCGTGGTGCTGCTCCGCCAGGCCCTGGCCGACTCCCTGAGCCTGGAGCTGCCTGTGGAGGGGGATGACACCCTGGCATCCAAAGGGGGGCTGGCGCCCAGGCCTAATGCGGTGTCAGAGGAGAGAGATGCCACATCTCTCCTGAAGACCCGGACTCTGCCAGAGCTCCCTGTGCCACAGGCCAAGCCCACAGTCCCAAGCACACCCCCGCGCTCCCCTCTGCCAAAGGTGCCCCACGCCGTGCTGCCGTCCGAGGACCCATCCAGCTTGTACTCGGAGCCCCTGGACTCAGTGAAGGGCTTCCGGCCCCGGCTGGACCCGCTGTACTCGGACCCCATAGACACCAGGCCTGCGAGCGGGGCCAGGGCGCCCAGCGGTGCCTCGGACGAGGTGAAGCTCCGGCTGCCAGCGCCGCTGTACTTGGGCACGTACAAGCAGGTCGGGGCTGAGGGATGCAACCAGGTCCCTGCAGTGCCTGGGCGGAGGGAGCACATCTATGACGAGCCCGAGGGTCGCGCTCCCCGCTCGCTGCCCCCCGCCGCCTGCATCTACGACGAAGCACGTCCCACAGGTGAGGCCTGGCGCACCCAGAGCCGTGACAGCAGGGCCGGCTACGAGTATCCCTACAACCCCAGCACTGACGACTACTCGGTACCTGCCTTCCAGGCCAAGGCCAAGGGCCCCAAGCCGGTGCTCGCCCCCAAGCCTCAGGCTGCCTTCATCCCTAAAGGGGCCGAGAGGAGCGGGGACCCTGGCAAGCGGTGGGGGAGTGCTGCTCTGGAGAAGGCGGTCATCAAACCCAGCCTCAACAGCAGCAACAACAACAACGTGGAGGTGCTGTACAGCCAGGTGGTGAAGCCCCAGCATGCGCAGAAGAAGGAGCAGTCTGTGGATGAGTGCAGCTTGTCGCCTGTCTATGAGGACTTAGGAGAGATATAGCGTGCCGCTGCTCTGTACTTGCCCAGGAGGGGCTGGGGGGGCCCAGGCCTGTTCCTGAGCAGTGCTGGCTGCTGTCCTCCACAGATCCTGGGGGTGGCTTGGGGCTGGGGACTGTTCTGGCTCAGGCAGAGCTGCTCTTGCTCACCAGCGCTGAGGGGCTGTGTTGCCCCAGAGGCCCTTTGCACAAGCAGGAGCAAGAGAGCTGTGGCTGGTGCAGGTGCCAGTGTGCTTCTCCGGCTCTGGAGCTGGCTCCGCTGTCACCTCCTGATCCACAGGAGGGTTGGGATGCGTGGAAGACTGCTTGCCATCAGTCTCCAAAAGTATTTTTACACAAAATTTTTTTAATATTAAAATCTGTATGTCTCAATGAAACGTTTGCCTGTGGCATGTCTGGCTGTCAGGCGTACGGGTGGGGAGATGCTGGTGCAGTGCTGTAGAGCAGGGCAGCCTGGCTGAGCAGCGTTCACATGGTGGCACATTCATGTCTGTGCCAGAGCTATTCAGCTAAGAGGAAACTGTGAAGAAAAGCATGTGCCAAGTTCAGCTGTGGCTAGGATGCCCTGATGCCAGGGGATTGAGTGTTATAAGAGTCAGGCTTGCGGGTACCTTTATGTGCTGATTGGGGCACAAAATGTGATGGCCTCCGAGCATAAGGCTGGGCAGGGCCAGGCTCCAGCTCTGCTGCAGCTTGGTGACTGTTAATGAGTCAAAGGATCTCTCCAGCCTGATCCCTCTGCTGATTTCCCCTTGCTCCCCTGCTCTTGAAAGGCCTGGGATGGCCCTGTCTGGATCCTGTTGACTCTAATGGCAAAACCTGTGATCCCTGCTGTGTGGTGTGAGGCCAAGGGCTTGGCCGATTGCTGTGTAGGCAGCCTTGGGCAGAGACCTCTGCAGGGGAAAAACAAGTTGTCCTTTCAGTGCTGGTGATGGTTTTGAGAGATTTTATGTCCCTTCTGTGCAGGGTTATGCCAGGCACCTTGGCATTGGCCATCTCGGAGTCTGGACGGTGCTACTGGTGACTTCTGCAGGTTTGCCAGCTTGTTGATATAGACAGCAGGAAAACAGCCAGCTGACAAGCAGCACTATGATGTACCTGTGCAGAGGACTAAGCATGACTTCTGCAGCCCCAGCTCTGACGCCGGGAGCCGGAAACCACTGGGGAAGTTTGGAGGATCAGGTTCAGGTCCCAAGACTGGTGAGATGATGACAAGGTGGTGAGCTCCGACTGGGCATTTGTCTGATGCCCAAGTTGCAGGTGGGGAGCCTCAGTCCTGTAACAATACAGCACAGCTGTAGCCAGGACCAGTTTGTGGCTGTTCTCTTGTGCTGGATCCTCTTCCCCACGGGGGTTTTGCTGCAGGAGAAGGGAAAAAGCCTAAGGGGCTTTGGGTATCTGAGGGAGGCGGTTCCTGCCTGGGGCGAGAGGCCACAAGCAGCAGGCATCTGCTGCTCATGGTTGGCTGCTGGGTGGCCCTGTGCTTGTGTTCCTGGCCATGGCGGGTCCATGTACATGTCCCAAGAGCAGTGCTGCCTGTCTGCTCCAGAGGAGAACTCTGGGCATGGCTTAAGCAGGGGGCCCAGGCCACCTGCCCGTAATCCTTGCTCATGACCCCAGTGTGAGCCTCCAAGACTTAAACGTTGGAGAGCAGCCTGAGTGGCTGATGCAGCTTTCACTAAAGAGGGTGATGGTGAGGAAGGAAAATGCTCCAGCATCTGTGCCAGACCAGTGGTCCCTGCACAGCCCTGCACTCCTCTTGGCTGGGAGGAAAGGATCTTTATTTTTCTCACCTCAGCAGTTAACATCATCTCTCATAACAGCTGACTCAGGACTAAAACATAAGTGTGCAAGACTTCACACAATCTGTCTGCCTTCACAGAACCACAGAATGGTTTGGGTTGGATGGACCTTAAAGACCATCTGGTTCCAACCCCCTGCCATGGGCAGGGACACCTCCCACCAGCCCAGGCTGCTCCCAGCCCCATCCAGCCTGGCCTTGAGCACTGCCAGGGAGCGGGCAGCCACAGCTGCTCTGGGCAGCCTGGGCCAGTGCCTCACCGCCCTCACAGGGGGGAACTTCTTCCTAAGATCTCATCTAAATCTTCCCTCTTTCAGTTTGAAGCTGTTGTCCCTCGTCCTGTCACTACCCTCACTGATCAAGAGCCCCTCCCCACCTCTCCTGCAGCCCCCTTTCAGCACTGAAGGCCGCTCTAAGTTCTCCCCAGAGCCTTTTCTTCTCCAGGCTGAACAACCCCAACTCTCTCAGCCTGCACTCACAGGGGAGGTGCTCCAGCCCCCTGAGCATCTTCACGACACTCCCTTTACTTTGCCTCACTTCTACTGTCCCCTTACAAGTAATTTCCATGTGTTGAACAGTGAAGGACCAGTGTGCAGCTCAAACACAGCCGTGGCACGTCACAGCGGTTGTGTGCCATGGCTGAAGGCTGAATTAAGTCTGTGTACTTGGAAAATGGCATCCTGGCAGCCAGTCCTGGCTGAGGCTTTGCTGAGGTGCTTGGGGATGCATGGCTTACGCTTCGCTGCTCGCTCTGCCAAATTTCCTACAAGTGCAGAAATGGTCCTGGATGAGCAGCTTTGTTTGCTTCTGCCTCGTCCAGGTGCTGTGGGCCAGACTGAGTGGTGTGTGGGGAATCCTTGGGATATCAGACTTCCTTATGTGAGGACAGCTTGTGTGCCTCCCTGTTCCCTACTAAAAGCCCATGCCCTGGATTAGCTGAGCAATGCCAGAGTACCGGTCTAGTGGCCACAGCTGGGACACAATGGAAGCAGTTGTCTTTGTTTCTGTAGGCCAGGTGGCAATTTTTACCAGGAGATGACAACTTGGGAGCTGCTCAGAGCCCGACCAACCTTTTCCTCATGGGGTTACCTTTTTCTGTTTCCCATTCTGAAAGATATGTCCTTTTATAGCTGCTACCTCCTCCCCTGTAGGGTCCAGCATGGTGCAGGCAGCTCTTCTGTCAGAATATTCATTATGCATTAGGGAAGGCACCCAAGTTCCCTCTGGCTGCCAAGAGTTGATCAGAGCAACAGCAGAGTTACTGCCCTGCTTCACACTGTGGTGATCAGGTGGAGGGCTTTTCAACAGGGACCCCCCAAACAGCCCCAATTTTGTGATTTTCTTCCCAAGTTTCCTGTGTAGCAGCTTCCTTCTATCAGCAATAAATCACAAGCCCCTGCTTGTTTACCCCTTCTCACTGGCAAGGTCATTTGTTGACTGTACCCCAGTTTGGTTTTTATGATATGGCTGCCAAAGTAATTTCCAGGTGCATCATCAGTTCAGTCAAGCTAATATATATCCCCCATCTGCCTGATTTTGTCATTTTCATATTGTCTGGTTGGCATGCCCCAGGCTGGGCCATTTGTGTGTGCATTACTGCCCTTTCCTACTCCTCCTTCCCCAGTTCCTCATGCTGTTAGCTTGTTAGAGACAGGCAGGGGTTAGCCACCAGCTTGCACACCCTAACAAACCCATACCCCCTGTGCCTGCAGGGGTGCCGGCCCTGTCTTCAAGGTACTTTCCCTTGACATCTTACCCCAAGCAGCTGCCGGAGATGCAGCCTCCTGCCAGGCACGGAGTGCTGCCAGGGCATGGGAAGAGCAGGTCCATGTCCTGGGTGGCTGGCAGGGCCTGTTACTGAGCCAGGATCCCAGGGAAAAGAGATGGCTCTGGTGGCTCTGCTCTCCTGCAGTCCCCGCAGGAGCACGGTGTTTGCATTGTGCCCTTGGTCAGCCGCAGCTGTTTCTCAGGCAGTGCAGGTCAGTGCCGTGCCGGGACTGCTGCACACAGTACACGTTACAAACTGCAGGCGGTAAGTGAACATTATGGTGGATAACTTTATTTTGAAACAACTCATCAGAACAAAGTAAGCAGAACACAAACCCCTGCAGGTGCTCAGCATCCGGGAAGCCCAGAGACCACCCCACCTTGGCTCAGTCGAGCTGCCCTCAGCTCCTGCCCTGCCAGGGGCAGCCGTCCTGCATCTGCACTGAAAAACAGGCTGGTATCTGTGCAAGCAATGGACAGAAGCTCTCTGGAAACCTCCAGGCCATCTCCTCCCATCTTCTGAACTCTGCCAAAAAGTACTTGCCGTGTTGTCTTGCAGAACAGCCCCATAGGCACAGATGGGCCATAAGGAGGGGAGCATCCAAGCAGCAGTTGGCTGGGAGAAAGGGTACTGTGCTGCAGCTTCAGCTGCAGCAAGTGGTCACAGTGCAGGAGCCAGCTGGGGCATTACGGCTGGCTTGGCACTTCCTACAAACCCCTTCATGAGCTGGGGAGCTGGACAGGGAGACCACTTACAGAAGCAGGCAAATCAGCATCATCATGTATAGTGCTGCTCTGAAGAAGGCAGCATTCTGGGCTTTTAAAAATTAAATTCAAAAGCCCTGTTTTACGCCTATTCAAGCACCCTGTTGAACCTGCTCGTGCAGGACGAGGGCAGCTTGATGTTACTGCCTACTTTATCTATCTGGCTTCCTCACTGGCCTGCTTGCAGCTTTTCTGCACCCGCTGACAGCAATCTGTGGTTTGTGGCCTGTACTAGCCTAGTCTCAGAAACCAAAATTTGAGGCATGTTGGTGACATGTGCTGACAAGAATGGGAAATAATGGGGTGTTGCGAGGGTAGCTGAGTCGCTGGACAGAGGGCCCCAGAGGAGCAGGCTTCCTGCAGAGTGACTTGGTGACTAACAAAACCATAAAACAACAAGGAGGAACAAACAATGGGAAGTGCCTGTCTGACCGGGGCCAAGCTCAGTGTCTTGCCTGGCCGCTTCCGGCCCACTGCGTAAGGCTGGTCAGCCGAGCCAGAAGCCAAGCGGTTACTGCACATGAGCAGGCTCGAGCGGTGCCCTGGGGTTCACTGCAGGAACTCGTCATACTCTTTGGGGAGCAGGGAGCGCTCGCAGGAACCTCTTCTCACCGCTGCTGGTCTGAACGCTTGGACAGGAGAAGCCATCAGAAGGGGCGCCACTGTGGCTTTGGATCTGCTCTGATGCTGCCATACAGGGACAAAAATACGAACGCACCTTGTGGCTCATCCAACAGCGCACTGTCCGAGCATGTCTGCACATGCCAGCTGTTCAGCATCCCCTTCCTCAGCCACATGAGCTCATGCTACTCCCATCCCTCTGCCCTGCCAGCTGCAAGGGAACGTTGGCCCTGCCATACGCCGCCCTCCCTGTACTGCTGGGGTGCCAGCGCTGCCCTCAGCCCTTCTGCAGGAAGCAGGCTGGAAGGGCAGAACAGAGGCTAGGCAAAGGCAAGAGACATACCTGCTTGGCTTGATGCCGCTCTGGTCGCTGGTCCCTGGGCTGAGGCTGCTGCCTGTGCAGAGGTTTGCTCAGCACACTCCTCAGGTATTCGTAGATGTTGCTTTTTAGATGCAAGGGGTTATAAGCAACTTCCACTTCCAAGCTGTTCAGGGCACTCTGCTCAGACAGAAGAAAGAACCTAGCGGCTATGAGATGTGGCAGGTAGAGGCTGTTGAGTTTGCTTGGAGGTTTTTTTGTTGTTTGTTTTTAGTGTCGAGGGCTTTTTTTTTTCAGGGATGAGCATTACAGACACTCCATGCCACCCTGCAGTGAGGGGAGAAGGGATCTTTGGCCATGATGCTACCCACAAGGACCACTCTAACTGTATAGAAACAAGAGGCATCTGCAACCAGGTCTTAATGGATTTAAGCATTCCTTTGCAGGGTATAGTCTTACACCACACCACCACCACCCCATGCCCAGAATCATCCAACGGGCTGGCACACCCTTTCCGGGCACCATCACTCTCAACTCTCTGCTTCATAAGGCCTCCTCCCCCTCCCCCCGGCAGACAAGCAACAGTGCTCCAAAGGACAGGCATTTGCTGTCTGGGAATAAAGCTGTGGGATATAGTTGCTGCTGGGAAGAAGTTTTGGGTTGCTCCACCATACACCAGCTGACATGAGGCATTTTCACAGCTATTTTCTCCTCTACTCATCTGCTAGGACCTCTAATGAGGTCATCACCTGAAGCAGAGGCAGACAACTCAGAAGAACATACGGATGCAAATAGGAAATGCAGAAGCCTGAATCTACTGGAAGAAATGGAGGCACTTTATGTATTGATTTATCTTATGCCTAAAGCACCTCTCCCTGCACTCTGAGGAGATGCGTGTTCCCCAGCAATGAGGGAGACAGACACATCTTCAGCAGCAGTGTAAAGGCCGATCATTACTCTCATCCCTACTCGTACAATTGGGATCCTTTCCACAGATATTTGGGTGGGGGTGGGGCTGTCAATGGCTCACCTCTATAGGGCCCTGCACTCTCTCAGGATGTTCAGCAATGAGGGCTGGGAAGGCTGACGGCAGCAAGAGCTCTCTGATGGCAACTGCTTTGACAAGTAGAGTGGCAGAGTCGGAAGGGACGATGACGTAGTAGGAATGCACCGCGATGTCCCAGCTTGGACTAGTGTTCTGTGGCTCACGTTTGGCCAAAAGCATCCACTTCCTTTTCTAAACGGCAAAAGCCAAAAGTGATGTTGAGCAATGGACACTTCCTTCAGCACTTTCACTGTAGGGGCTGCTGGGTTCAGGAGCAGAGACGTTCACACACATCAGAATAAGAACACTATTCTGCATTATGGTTGAGGATAGTATGTTGTTTGGGTTTTTTGTAATTGAATGGAAGACAATTCTTAAGAAAAACATCCAGTTTTGCTTTACCACTTGTCAGTAATGGAAAGTCCTCCACATCCCAAGCCTTGGTTAATTCTGTTCACAGTTAAAGATGCACGTCTAACTCCAACCCCGACTTCAGCGCTTCACACCTCCAAACACTGGATTTCTGATAGGCCAGAGAGTCTTCTCTAAGGCTGGATGTGCTGTAGTGTCTTTCCAGTGGATGCATTGGCTGCAGGGATTAACAAGCCCAACTCTGGCCCGTGAGATAAAGCTGCAGCTTTTGAAACGTGTTTTCTGGTCCGGGCTAGACAGACCTTACTAGATGTGCACTGACTGTTCCTTTCTATGGCAATCCCTCCCCGTGAGACTGAAATTTTCACACACTCACCAGAAGACTATGACACAGAGCATGGAAGCTGTGCTGGTTTAACTCCAGTTCATCCCAGTCTAGCTGCCAGCAGCTTGTGGGCTTGATGATGAAGGGCAGGCCATACAGTACAGACTCACAGACCCCTTCACATTTCAGAGCCCTGCAAATACACAGCTCATGTTAGTGAAGTGCAGCCAACGTGAAAGCAGCAAGAGGACTCTACCAGGAGATGACTAGCTCAAGTAGCTATGGCAGTACCAGCTGCAGTACTGCTACAAGCACTTAATGTCTGTATTGCTGTGGCCTGTCACTACGAAACCTTGCAGAAAAGTGCAACTGCAGTGAAAACAGGCTTGCTTGCTCGTCTCCAGATTCCCTTGTATCTGCGTTGGCAAAAGCATGCCAAGAAGCAAATCCAATCTTCGTGCATTTTATATACAAAACAGATTGTTAATCTGGCCTCTTGGGCAACATCTCACCCAGGCAATTACATGTCTTCCGCAGTGATTTTTGCTGCATCGTGGTTATCCTTCGCTCACACTGATACGTGCTCTACTCCTGCCCAGAGCCAACATCCCACCACACACTTTACAGTGCTTGACGTCGCCTGTCCGTAGCACACGTCTGCTTTGTGACAGGGCATTGTTAAGTGGCTTCAGTGCTTCGGCTGTGGGCCATTTATGCACAGTTACTGAGTGCTCTTCAGCTACTGACAGGATGAGAGTAATTTTAAGAACAACTGTATAGTTCAGAAATTACACAAATTTTTTCCTATAAATAAACCTCAGAAAAGACACTAGAGAGCATCACTCTTCTTGTTATGCTCTGCGCTTACCAGCCACAGGCTGCTGACAGGAAAGCGAATAATTCTTTCGTGTAGTCATGCAGCACTGTGAGGCTTTGCTTGCTTTTTTACTACTCGTCAACTAGTTAGCTCAGGCTTCGACATCCAGTTAATTGCTGTGGCCTCATTAGGTTGTGAGCGAACAGCAGAGTGGAGCAATGGCTGCAGTCTACAGGACTTCACACAGGAGGGAAATGGCTGTTACATGAAAAACATCCCTGGTGTTACACTCATGAAGTGCTAAGGTCGTGGTAACACCGGTTTTGACTCTGCACTCCTGTCTGCACGTGTGGGATGTGCTGTTCCATAACACGTCAGAATTTTGCTCACTAGCACTTCAAGTCCCCCAGCACTTTGGGTTGGTGTTGCTAGGTCCTAGCTGAAATTGCACAGACGGAGCGAAGGCTGCTGTTACACCAGCCCTCTGGTTACCAAGCACAAAGCACGTAACAACACTTACTTTACAACACGGAGTTTATACAGCACTGTAGCCGGCCAGGCTGCCATCTGGCAGGGTGAATTCAAATCTGCTGCTCTCACGGTGCCATCAACCGAACCAGGAAGTAGAGCTGGGTCAAGCAATCTCTCCTGCAAATCACACTTCAGGCACACTAGGAGAAGGAGACTGTTTTAGACCACTGGAGATGGCAATGTTTAGCACATGACACACTCAAAGCATTTACAGGGTGAAGGAAAATCGACCTTTAACAAAACATCTTAATTGCCTGTGCTGGTCTGGAGGCTGTTATGGTAGCTACTACATAATCAAAAAGTCACACCAGCAGCTCTCTGATCTTTGCTTCCAGTCCAGAACTGGCCTGTGGATCGCCAGAGGAAAACAAGCGTGCTGCTGCTGGGATGGCAACAGGAAGCTGCACATGGGCACCAGAGTGGCACAGAGTACCTTATTGGAGAGGCATGGCAAGGGGGTTGCTACAACTGCGTGTGCAGATTCCCATGGCAGTGCAATGGTGGCAGTACAGTTGACAACACCTTACAGGAAACACCTATGGCTGCTGCAGCTGTTGGTGTTTTCAGTGCTCACCCAGGGATGATTAGGGATTTGGATTTAGACTAGTAGAGGAAAAAAAAGTTACATGTTCCTTATAAATTTTCCCATGCGTTACTGTAACTGTTGGCAGCTCCAGCTAGAACATTAGCTATTTTAGTGCTAAATCAGTAGATATAAATACGAGCCAAGTCACTTTGTAAGACAGCCTTTATTTAAGTGCCCCTCCGGCACAGACTTTTAGCATCAAACACGAGGAACACAATTGTTATGGCTGCACAACTGAGCCAGAAGGTCCTAGGCTCTCAGTAAGGCCCCTTTTACCTTGACCAAGTGCCTATAAATTCACATACTTTGCTGCAGAATGGAAATTAATTACAGCATCAGCAGTCACAGGACATGGCAGCAACCCAGAGGTATTCTAAGCAAATGGCCCCTCTCAGCCTGAGACAACGGAAACCCCAGACGGCTTTTGAAGTCACCCAAAGACCTTAATTAGGTCTCTAAATGTGAGGGAGCATGCCCACAGGACAGGCCTGGGTAATCTCTAAGGCTGTGGGATTTAGGAGCTCCCTGCAGAGGAAGGGAGAAAACGAAATACTTAGGGTGGTCTTGGGTGCAGTGGCACGGCTGATGCCTCCTGATGGAAGGAGGAGATGGAGGTGTTCTCTCTCTGTGCCGTAGTCATGTAGCCAGGTTTTAAACAGCATCTCCAAGCCGATGACATTGTCCTCGATGGTTTGCACATCAATGTCCATTCCCAGGATTGCAATGTCTGCAGGAAAAAAACAGTGAAAAAGCACAAATGTTTTCAGCCATAGAAAACATTCTTTTGCATTTTCCACTACACTATACCTCCTTAATCCCTCAAGTGCTTTCATACAAGAAGTGCTTCAGAAGCCATTACCATGCAAATCACAGTACAGCACTGCGAGCCAGCCCTCTTAAAAGGCCACTGCTAGAAGCTGAGCTGCTCCACAGGCCACACAACACCCTCCCCATCGACGGGTTGGGCGGACCGATGCAAACATGCAAACTGCCCTCTGCTGTGGTCATCTTAGCACCGGCCGCAGAGACTCCTCTCACCACTTTAAACCATTTCCTCCTTCTCCCTATGCGAGGGACACTGGATTTGTGACTGCAAAACTGACACGCTACACTAATGAGGAATGTTGTAGTAGTGGTGGAAAAGTACCACTCCTCACACAGAAGATGAACGTTACTTCACCATATGGCCCCATGACTAAATTGCTGAACATCCTCAGCGTGTTTAAAGGAGCAGTCACAGAGCTGAGAAGAACAGAAGCAAAACTTGACCTGGACCTGACCAATACAGAGGACATGTTTCAGCACGTTACTGTTGAAGTGCGGCGTGGTTACACAGCAATCCCTCAGGAGAACACCCTTGCGGATAGATACAACAGTCAAAACTATCCGGCACCGTTACATTTAATTTCAAACAAGTGAAATGCATAACATCTAGACTTGTTAAAAAGAAATTAAAAGGAGAAAGTAAAAATGTTAGCAAATATTTAAGCTACCATGTTGGAGGTGCAGAACAAATGTGTATGATCCAGCAACAACACTTAGCAATGCAGAAACGTAGGCTGGACACTGGAGCCAGGGAGGCCATAAACAAGATTAAACCCTTGCAAAAAACCCCAAAACCCAAACCACTCCCAAATTATAACTCAAAGGTGCAGCCAAATGAGAAGCTAGCATAAAGTCTAGCAGATTAAATTTAAAAAAAAATAAAAAGGTAAAAGTGCAAAAAAGAGAATTTTATTCACCATTTGCAAAATGCACAAGACATGCAATATACCCATTTGTAAAGACAGAAGGAACAGACAGCCTGGTAGCACTAGTAGGGTCACCATACAGCTAGGATGTGAAACATATTCTGAGAAGATGAATGCATAGCAGAAATAGCCTTTTTTTTTTTTTTTTTTTCCCCAATGTGTTTACCAGGCCAGCTGGGGACTAAAATACAGTGCTACATCCACCCGCAATGAGAAATCTTTTCTTTACGCATTGGTATTTATAGTTTGCAAAAACAACACTATGCATCTGCTCCCGAATTAAAAACAAAAAAACCACAACAAACAGAAATTCATTAATCTCCCTCTACATGGCAAATGATCTAGGGCTAATGTAATGACAGTAATTCTTCAAATGGTCTGCAACTTGCAAATGCACTTTCTGTGGTAGGGCCAACACAGGAGGGCATAACTTTCTAACTGTCTCCACCCGCCAGCCGTGAGGGAGGCGTTGGGATCATGTAGGCTGTGCCTCTGCAGCAAAGCAGAACGAACTGCTACGTACGACGGGAGGTCCTGCGCACTGTCCTTGCTACTGGCAGACTTTCCTTCATAATGCTCAACCAGACTGTCCTTGGCTGGAAGGACATTTCATTCCCTTTTTTTTTTTTTTTTTTTTTTTTTCCTTCTTCCCAAATCTGTACAGTAAACTGATTTTTCCCTTAGTTTTGTAGGAGCTTCTAAAAATGTACCTTAAGACTGCAGACTGCTACCATGCCTTACCCCAGTCTTCCCTGATGCTTATGGGAATACGAGTTTCTCCCCCATGGAGCAACACTGGAAGATACTGTGGCTGAAGGGAATGTCCTGCTTCTCTCTAGAGACTGCTCTTTGTGAACAGAGCTATCACCACTGCCCTGATGCTACGAGTCTTGCTCTCATTCCCCTGCAGAATGCACTAATGCAGCTGGAGAGCATGCTGGCTGTGTCTCGGCTGTGCTGCACTCCCTACTGGTTTTAAACTTAGGTTTCTCTCTGGGATATGCACTGATGATGCCATTAACAGTCCAGAAGACAAAGCACCAGGAAATGCATGTAATTTACTTTGACAAATAGTGTATACACAGATGGCAAGTGGAATTATCCGTGTTTTGAGAGACAGCGTTTTGGCACTGGTAAATGTTTTAGTCCTTTCCTGAGTAAATATTTTCTATTTTTTATTTTCTCTTCTGTAATAGACATGTAGCCACTTCCACATCTTAAGCTGGCACAATATATGGCAACTGTAAAAACAAATTCACTGCATTCATTGCTGTCCATTCTTAGGAAGGACAAGTTGGGATGCTGACATCTACTGTGCAATGGGTCTTAAAATTCCTGGAGAGCAGATACGCAAAGCCATTTATGGGTCAGCAATCTGCAGAGCACATATAGAAAAAGGTTCCCTGGGACTTGCAGAAGATGGAGCATGTTCATTAAAAATGTACTAGTGCTTTATCTTCAGTGCTTGCTTTTTGTTTTCCCAAACCAGAAATAGATAGGGCCAGTATCTATATCCTATACAAATAGTAACTGCCATTAGCGAATGGTTTGGCAATGCTCAGCTGCTTCAATTGTTTGTAACAGGGTAGGGGCAAGAACGAGATAATAATACTAATTCTCATGTTATTAATCAGAGGCTAGTCCACCGCATCCTACTGATCACTCCCACACACTATTCCCGCCAAAAATGCTGTATGCATTGCTGTCTTTACAGGATTTATGTTATATCATGATCTCTGCTCCAGTCTGCAGTCTGGCAGGCCCTAATGTTTTATCATTAAAGAAACATTGCAGATTTAGTCTCTGTCCCACAGAGGAGCTGCTTTGCAGTTTTGAAAAAGCAATCCTTGTTGCTTGTCACATGGTCTTTGTTTGCCCAGAGATGCACTCTCCCAAGGAGGTTGCTCCTGTGAAGAAAACAGCAAGCGTTTTTCATCCACAGCAGGCTGTTCTTAGCATATTCAAAGCTATTCTAAGCCTTGCCAACTGCGGGGCTTCAAAATATTGGAGTCTTTTCTAGCTGCATTAACCTGGAAATCAGCCTCTAAGAGGGGATATCGTCATCCTGCCTTCCTTCTTTCAGTACCATAGGAAAGTGTAACAGTATGTTGGTGGGGGTTTTTTTCCCTTTTCCCCCCTGCTATAAGATAAATAAGGTAAATAAGAGAGGAAATTTTCTGGGTGAGCTGAAAAATCAGGTGCCTTCTCAGGATGCAGATTTTGCATCTCCACATCTTCTTGGGTTTGGAATAAGCAATTTGTCGTCCAGTACTATGTGACAGTAAGATAACAGAGATAACATTCATCAATGGTCCAGCAGGAACCCTTGCAGTGGGCTATACTGCAGTATAATCTGCAGAAGCTGCAGTACAAGCAAGGCAATGAGATGGTCTGAGCCTTGATGGTCTTACAGTCCAAAAGAAGATCCAAAGGAAGGAAGCAGGGGAATACCGTATACGCCACAGGAGTCCAAGAAGAAATGCAAGCTTCTCACTGAATTGTCCATGAGAGTGTCTTGAAAGCATGGGATACAAGTCTGTTTTATCTGGCAAGATTATCAAGTGACACGTCTCACTGAAAGCCTGAGCCAAACTTCACAGCTGCCACCTCCCTCATGGCCAAACGCCCAGCTCATTGTCCATGCCTTCCCCAGCGCAAGTGTCTGTCTTGGATGCAATACTGGGCAAAACATTCAACACTATAGGTATTTTTTTCTTGCATAAATGGAAACTTCTAGCCTTGGCCAGATATTTAGCAAGCCTAGTTTAACAAGGCTGTTTCTGTCTATCTGGCATTTGCCAAAGATGACTGCTTCAGGGAACAACTATGTAAATGTGCCCCAAACCCTGTTTTCTCCTCATGTTCTTTAATCAAAATTTGTCTTACGTCCTTAAATTTCACTTCCAAAATGCCTCAGAGGGCTGGGACAGGAGGAGGGAGAAAAGGTAAGTATTTAATTCCAATAGCTATATCTCAATATAGGTTTGTTACTCACCTAAATGGTCTGCAGGATTTCTTTAAAGACAAAAAAGAGATGATAGACTCTATAGCACAGATTTGCAAGTTAGTTGAATACAGGCTCACTTTTTCTTCTCCCAGGTTAGTGTGAGCCCAGACCAGTTTCCTGACATTGAACAGTTTTGATGAAGGAATGGAACGGAGGGGAGGGATTTAGGACTGCTTCTTTCCATAATGGTGGCTTATGCAGTACACAAAATTACAGCTTTAGTTGTTACTGGAAATTTTGGCAACTTCTTTCATTCCAGTACGCCCTGAATACCAAGTTATAATTGTTAACCAAGTCTCAGAGCTTCCAAACATAATTTTATCTAAAAAAGAAAAAATAATCACACTTGCATTAATTCCAGTGATCTTCTAAACATAGAAGGTCACAGAAGATCTAAATATAAACATGATTTATAAACATAGTTCCCAGCTCCTTAATTCTTAATGTAACTGTTTTCCTGTGGTGTGGCTTTTATATATAGGTATATATGTCCAATAATCTCAGTGGTGTTAGCAAAGTCTTAAAACAACTACTGTGTTATAAGCATCAGAGAGCATGGGATTGTTTTTCACACCGTGACAGTAGTTCTCAAGCAATATAACATCTCTTGCCACATTTGCTGAAACAATATTGTTAGCTGTTGCAAGTTTCTTCAGTGAAGCAGATTGTCTAGTAAACGTTTTCAGTTCATGCAGTAAGCTGTTATGATACTTCTTCCATTTCTGAAAGCAACTTTTTGCAATGCTTTTCAAAACGTCATTTAAGAGAAGTATGCTGTGCTATTAAAATGTAATAAAGGCAAAGCTTGGTTTCCTATTCAACCACTCCATGTTTCAGCATCAGCCATTCTTGGAAATCCCACGCCCTGCATGGGATTTCCAGTAAGTTTATTCTTTTTTTCCACCCTTTCCCAAGACTAAATCTGTATTTAGTTTGTGCCATTTTGAAGGTCACTAAATTAATACAGTTTGGTTTAAATACACATATGATGTTCACCACTACCTAAATCATACTGTAAACATTTTTGCAAACTGTGCTTAAAATTTCATTTTCGTGTCACCTTAAATAGTGTAACCACACACAGTGAAAGAAATTATCAGCTTGTTTTTGAGGTTTGGGGAGGATAAAACTCAGCACTACTGTTGCATGCAAAAGAACTGCCTGACTGCACTAATGCTGTATCTGAGTACTTACCTGTTACTTCCTTTCAGGGAGTCTGCCAGTAAGAAAATTTGGGTCCTGGGGTGAAAAAAAAAATCTTGTAATAATCAAGAGCTACAGCTCATCACTGTCGGAGTCAGTTCCATTTCTACTGCCTACACCCTGGGTGTTCGTGCTAATGGGTGGCTGTTGCAGGTCTATAACAGACTTCACCTTATTTCTTTACCTTAAAACTAGATGTCTTTCTAAAGAATGTCTTGATTCTCCAGAAACTGTGGGCTTGATTCAGAAATCTAATAAAACTGTACCCTGGTGTTATGAAGGGAACAAAATTAGGTCGTATTCTTGAAGTCTGTCAGTATATAAAACAAAAACTCCTTTACTCCAGTTGTATGATGGCCCAGAGAGTTATCTCCCAGAGGAAATATGACATGCAGTCTGTTAAAAAGAAAACATTAATGCATCCAGTTAACTGGGAAAGAAAGGTGAAACACCAAACAGACCATTCTGGTCTATTCTACCAAGGTCCAGGTCAGTCATTACAGACAGATGGTGGATGTATTTACGAAAGACGGGTGAAGCCAGGAAAACAGCATGTTCCTGTTCTCCTTCTTGAAACCAGGAGTCGTGGATATAAAGTCAGGAGAGAAACAAACCCTTGATTTTAGGTATATTTTTAACAGAAAGTTCTGGAGAAGCAGAATGTTGGGCACAGTGAAGAACGTGTCAGGATTACTGCAGTGAATGTCAGAAGTCAGATGTAGAGGCACTCAGCCCCTTCGTACCCAAGAAACAGCTGCACAAGAGAGAGGGGAGAGGTGCCAGTAACAGCTGCCTCCTATCAACCCTCCTGCCTGACAGGAAGGCTGTTCTGAAAGTAATACCCAGAATGGTTGGATAAAAAGTCAGTTGTGTTCTGGTCAAAAGCTGCATTGGACAGGAGAGCTTCCTGATTTGGGGACCAGATTTAAACCATCCCTTTTGAAAATTTGGGACAGTGAGACGAAAGAACTGTGAGGAAGTTTGGCTAGCAGGACACTGATCCTCACAAAGCAGACATGAGGTCCAGCAGCTGGAACAGCAGAAAGAGACAGAAGCCTACAATGGTGCAAAGACCTTCCATGAAACGCAGTCAGAAAATACTTCCGCTCTCATTGGTACACATGGAGGCCGGTAACTGTTAAGACCTCACATAGAGGACAACAGGGGCAACCAAGAAAAGAGCTCCAACTCTAGCAATCTAACATTAAAGCCCTACAGCAGGTCAAAAGAGATTTTGAGAGCAATTTACCAAAGCTGTTACAAATAGGTTAAGTTTTTTCAGGCTAATCGGATTCACAACATTTAAAGATCTCTGAGCTCTGTGGTAGAGCTATATAAAACAAAATCACAAAAAATAAATTGGAAACTGTAATTTCTGTCATTTGCTGCCAATAAGCTGAGATGGAGAGGGCACAAAATTAATTTTTCAGGCAGAGGATTTAAAAAGAGATGATTTTTCGATGTGCTACAAATATAAAGGCAGGATGCAACATCACAGCAATGCTCTGGATATTAAAAACGTAGGTATGTTCAAACAGCCACTAAACAAGCTAGTGGAAGAAATATCCATGGTGGGATGAACCTCGTAATTAAGTGCTGCACCACGATGTTTCTTTTGTAGTGGGAGAAGGGCTGCAGGTGAACCCAGCACTAATTCTTGCACTTCCTGCATGGTAAATCTTGCAACTTCAATGTTCTTTACTGGAATTTTTTCTAATACAATGAATTTTTTTTATTTTTTTATTTTTTTTTTCAGAAACAGAGGGAAGGCGTTCCAATAGGTAAAAAAGCACCATAAGTTCTTCTTCAGAGATGTAGCCAGGAAGAATAACATCAGGGTCTGGGGTGCACTAGCTCTTTCACTAATAAGCCTATGGCCAGGTGTGCGAGGGAGAGGGCAAAAGGGGATCTACGATCCACCTGAACATTCCCAGTCCCTACTCTGCCAATTGACCAGAAACTTGCTACTGCAATCAGAAAAGAAGAACAACTAGAAACAGGGAAGGCAACAACATCCAGTGCTGCCTGTCACTCAGTAAAAACAATATTATCATTGCTAGTAACAGGTCTTACACTAACTTTGCAAGGCATCAGGACCCAGGTTTTTAAGCTTATTATCAGTTCATTATGAGAATTTACTGTCTGAACCAGAGCTTGGTACCAGGTGTGTCTGGTTGATTGGGAGTTTAAGTGTCAGCAGTATGGCCTCTGAAATGGAGACCTGGCTTGGAAAACAGAGGCTGCAGGGCTATGAAGAACTCCTTGGTGTGCAATTACTGGTTACAAGAGGTACAACCTTAAGAGCTCAAGAAAAACTGCCCTAAGCATAGAGCAAAGAAGCAGCAGCTAAGCAAGAACAACATCAGTGGAAAAAACCAGCTCATCAACGGGGTAAGTACCTGACTTGGCCTGGGAAAGTAACTCTTCCCAGCACTGTGCAATATGTAGTCTGGGGGAAAGGACTAAAGGCTAAGAATTACTTAGAAACCAAACATTGTGTAAAAGGACAAGATCTTGAGTTGGCAAGGGGGAGGAGGGGGTTATCTCTGTAGGATCACTGAAATTGTAAATAGCCTGCCTGCTTCTCCTTCCCTCACTTCTGCCTGTCTGCCTGCTTCTCTCTCCTCTGACCACCTGCTTCAAGGATTCTGGTTGCCTCTGCCTGCACCAAGGACCTTTTGATCAGCCAGTCAATTGCCCAGGGTGATGTTCAGCAGTGTGCTTGTTACCCTCATAAACTCTATGCCTTTTTTTCTTTAATCCCTCAGTAAAGCTGTATTGTACGTGAAGTCAATTTTAGGTAATACCAAGAGATGCAGTAATGCATGAAGCCTACATGCCAATTTTGCCCAGAGAAGTGCTGTGGTACAAGCTTTTTGCTGTTCTTCCAGGCACAGTAGTTCCCACTTATATGGGTGACACTAAACTGCACAAAGGAAAGTGGCATATATTGGACCAAAGCAAGAACTAGTGCTTGTCCTGCTGTCCAAAGCCATAAGTTCCCTGACCACCCTATCTGTCTTAACGCTTACCATTGCTGCTGGGCTCTTCTGCTGCCACCCGCTGTTCCACATCCTCAGGCTCCAGAAAGTCTCTCTTCAAAACCTCAATGACTTGTATTCGTCGCAGACTCACAAGGTCTACGTCTTTTAACTTCTTTTCCAGCTGCTTTACCATTTCTTTGCTGGACTGGCTAGTCAAAATTGTGATCTGAAACACAAATCGTGTGCAAGAGTTGCCTCTATCCTAATCCTCTCTGGACAGGCAATGATGCCTGGTCTGTTTGAACAGCAAGGTCCCGCTACGGAGAGAGGAGAGAAATCTTACTGAAATATCTCATCTATTCAAAAGCAGATTTAAAAGACTTTTTTGAGCTTTGCCTTATATGTAAGCCAATATGAAATGGATTGAGGGGTTCACTGTAGGAACACCAACAGGTTTTGTGCCATTGCTGGAAGAAGATGAAACAATCCGCAACTGTCTTATATTCTATGCTTTGTGCTTACAGTCAGTGAGTCTGTGTGTGTGCAGGAGGGACTCTGCTTGAGACTTTGAGGGACAAAAAGAGCTGGTCCTGTGTCAATAGCTGGCTGGTCAGGATGCTTGCCTGGCCAGGCCCTGCCCTGATCACCACAGCCTGTCCCATCTTCTTAAATTCCTTCCCAGCTCTGTCCAGGGTGGGAGCTCTCCTGTGGGCACGTGTGGCAGGGGGTCTCGGTGCAGCAGCCGCAGCAAGTGCGGGTGAGCACGTGACCATTAGCAATGTCCAAAATGGACCGGCTGGTGAAGAGGGGAAATGGCCTGGCAGCAAGGGGGTCTCGAAGGGTGAGACCACAGGAGGAGCTGGCTATTGGAGGGATGAGGGGAGTCCTGGCCAGCTCTGTCCATGTGTGTGTACACGGGACGGTCTGTACCAGCAACCGGAGTGGGGCTGCAGCCCCGGGGACTCGTATGTCCGCCTGCCAGCAAGTGGGGAGACTGGGATCCAGGAGCAGCTACTGGGCAGACTGAGTGTCTGAGCCCAGCTGCTGGAGGGATGCACACTGTAGGTCTGGAGAACAGGTACGTGCGTGTCTATGTCTATACACCCACGCACACACATATCTATTCTGGCTAGTGGACCTCCGTCCTGCTTAGCCGGAGCGGAGAGCAGGCTGAGGCCATTGGTGCAGTCTGTTTGGGTGAGTGCTCAGAGTGTCTGTCTGTGATCTGTGGGACCAACCACACCCGTGGATGTGTGTTATACCTGTGCTCTGTGTGCCTCTGCCTGCTGGGAACACATGCTCAGCCTCACAACCGGCTGGGCCTGGGGGCATGGAGTTGTGGCAGCCTTGCTGATACCAGACAAAGCCTGATTTCCCTAACAAAGTATACCCCTCCAGCCGAACTTCTCCCTAGTTTGCCTCTGAGTTACTGCAAATGAAGAAATGACTGTGAGCTCCTTTTAGGAACTACTGAAGATGGCTAACCGGGACTGTCCTTGAGCTGGGGGTAGTTGAACCGTCTGAAGGAGACAATTACCTCTTGCAGAGCTCTAGACAGAGCACTCGCTCCACTGATGCACCTTTATTTCATCCAAACCAGGGCTACATTACATCTGTAGCCTGTCACCTCCGACTTACCCTTTCCACAACCCGAGTCACACTAGCACATGCTGGTCAGAGGCCAGGAGAAATATTTTACCATGTACCAAAACCCAGGTAGCTACTGTGACTTCCCTTCATATTACCACAGTTTCCAGATGTAATCCCTTAATGCTATTATACTTCCTAACCTGACCGAAAAATGGGCTACTGGTGACTTCAAAAATGCTTTTTGTCCTACTGCAGATTGGCCACGTTTCCTGCCCTGTAGCTGCTGCTGAGATGTAGCTTCGCTGAGGCTGGTGGGTTTTCCCCTCTGAAGTCAGGATCTCAAAACAGTAAGAGTCTTCCAAACTTTTAAGACAGATTTGGGTTGTAATGTCTGCAGGTCGTAACAAGGTCTGCTTCCTATGTTTACTAGTCAGCTAGGAACATCCTTGCTTCTTTGCGGTTTAACTGTTAGGAAAATGCACGTTTGCCTGAAGATGACACCTGATTTGCACAAGCAAATTGTGAGTCGCGCTCTGGTACGATAAATATCAGCCATCATGGATGGTCTCATGCTACAGAAACTGTACTCCTCCTATAACCGTAACACCTCCTTAGGCGCTTGTGTTTCTGCTGGCTCACGTGTAAGCACGCTTCAGCAGCAGCTTCCGACATACTGTGTTTCTTTGTCCTGCTGCGGTTCACGGTCCTGTCCTGTCCTTCCCGCTTCCTCCCGCGGAGCCGCAGCAGGCGCGTGCTGGCTGCCTGCAGCATGCTTTGCTGCTGCTGCTGCCCTGCAGCCCTGCCCGCAGCGTGGGCGGAGGGATTGTGCCGCAGGCAGTACAGCAGCAGCGGTGCTGGTGTGCAGATCTGGAATAGTCTCTTCTGCCAGTGGAAAGCTTTTTGGTTTAACTTGTGCCGCTTTAGAAGCAAAAGAGCAGGAGCAAAAAAGAGCACCCCTTTCAGAAGAGAAGGCTGCACAAACAGGAATGGTAACTTTCTCTGCTGAGACGAGCCAGCGCACCTCAGCGACAGGTCTGGCCCCTCGCTGGCTGCCGCTTCTCCTTCTGCCCAGCTGTGCACGCTCCCTCTGCCGCAGGATTTCACAGGCAGTGATCTTCCTTGTTCCCAGTTATTTACTCCTCAGCAGTTTACTGACTCAAATTATATGCCTGTGATTTGCTGTTCCAGCCAGCACCATGGGTTATTGTATCTCGGTAACAGCGTGACCGAGGTGTCAGTCTGGCGATGGGGCATTGATGCACCAAAATGACATACAAAGCATTACATTCTGATAACAACACTCCAGATAAGACTGATGGAACTAGAGAGTTCCAAACGTTTCATAAATTAGGGCTTATTTTCTCTTGCCCATGCCCTTATAGTTCAATGCAGAAATACTTCTCTTAATATGTTTTCTAATCGTAGAATAGTTTGGCTTGGAAGGGGCCTCTAAAGGTTATCTCGTTCACGTCCCCTGCAGTGAGCAGGGACACCTTTAGCCGGATCAGGTTGCTCAGAGCCCTGTCCAACCTGGCCTTGAACGTTTCCAGGGATGGGGCATCCGCCACCTCTCGGGGCAGCCTGTGCCAGTGTTTTACTGATGCTTTGAAGTATCGCAGAAACAGAATTGCTACTTCTCTTCACAGTGCACTAAATAGAAAATGCTTGTGGGAGATGTTAAGTGCTCGGTCACCACACGTGGTCTACCTGATACAGTTGAATTTAACAGGATAAATGCCTACTTTAACTGGCTTAAGTTTTCTAGGCTTCACTTCCAAGAAGGTATCTTTTTTTTCTTTTCCTTCTTCAAAAGATACTGTATCTGAGCAAAATCATTCAAATGCCTTTTGAGAAAAAGAAACAGAAATAAAAATCCAACTTACTCTGAATAAAAAATATGTTTGTGATGAAAACGTTTCAGATTGAAAGATTTCAGTCCCTGAAGTATCTGAAGCAGAAAGCTGCCTTTTTTAGAAACATGACCTTTGGTAAGGGTGAAATACCATTCTGCCTTTCTGTGATCACTGGCTTTTGTTTTTGAACAAAGACCTGAGAATTGTAGGTGCTCTTCTGCTCACTTCCTGGATCCTCAGTGATCTGATGGTGCTTATTCACCTTCATGTGAAAGACTAAGGCTGCCCCTTAGATTGCATTTAGGTCTGTGAAACACTTTTTCTTGAGATTTGCAGAAGGCTGAATTTCATCCACAGGTTACATTCATGCAGTATGCAGAATGGGAAGGATTGCTAGCCTGGAAAAAGTCCTTTGTCCTTGAAATTCTCCACAGAACTAAACTTTGGGCTAAAGTTTCCTTAAGATAGGCAAGTATGATGTCTTGCCTTTTGGAAGCCCTCAGGACCCTCTCCAGTACCTGTGCGAAAATCAAGTGTACTGTAATACTTAAGATCCCTACATTCTTTGAATTCTCTCTCCAGTTTTAATTTGGGTATTTTTCAAATGATACAGGATCACTACAGATTGTATGTACTAATGAAGCCACAAGAAGAGCTATTCTTCATTTAGGTTTTGTTTCCCTTTGCTTTACAAGGCATGTGTTCTTGGAAGAAACATTTGATGCCTGTCACAAACAGCTCAAAGGGAAGTAAGGCAGCGGAAACAGGGACTGAAATATAGTCAGCATGAAGCAACTTGGAGGGAGGACTAGAGCTGGCAAGTGTGACTGATGTCTCTGTATTTGCTGTTGTACAGAAACCGGGGAGATGCAGAGTCTCCAATGTGGACACTATTTTGAATGTGGTGAAGGGAAGGAGATTAAATGTTCAGCTGCCAGCGAGAGGCTTCTAAAGGAGCTCCTCCTACCTGTTCAACTGACCCTCTGCAAGGGTTCTCTAATGCTGTACAAGATATTTTCTGGCAGATATTCTCTACGCAGCAATTTAAGTAGAGTTTGCTGCATAAAGTTTCTGAAGAATGGCCACATCTCCTGGACTACAGAGTTCTTGTCCTCCCTAGGAAATCTTTCAAGTTAGGATCCACGCATGTTTGAGAGCAGATTTTTGTTTGGTTGTTGTTTGAGTGTTGTGGGTTTGCTGCTGTTTTGTTTGGGGTATACTGGAATTAATATAGAGCATGATTCATGAAGTGGGAAGTAAGAGAGCAAGTGCTCTTAATGCATTAGCAGCTGCACCTTATTCAGGGCCTTGTAAAGTGCAAGGAGTGGGGATAAAGTACTAGTGCATCAGGATTACAGCAGGCACAGTTCTCCCTAATTCCTTGGGGCACGGGCAAAGCAACTGGACTGCGCCGTTCTTCTGTGTCTGACATAAAGGTGTCAGAGATTATCCCTTTTCCATTCACCCAGTGTAGGGATGCATGCCAAGAACAGACATGATGCTGCCTGAGTTTCAGGGGCTGTCTGTTGTACAGAGCTTATAATGGTCTTTTTGGACTCTCAGTTATTTCACACAGCCGTTGCCAATGATGTCTTGTAAGGGAACCCCATTACAATTTGCAGAGTAGGAGCCCTGTGGAACTCCCAAGCTGCCCCTGAGAAAAGAAAAATGCTAATTATAAGCAAACCCTCTTGTTATTCCAAATACTGACCATATTTTATTTTTACCCTGAAAATGGATTTGAAGAGGACTGTGCTAAGACAATGACCAGTCTGTAGTCAAAACCCTGGAAATTCAATTCATTCTTCTATACTGTAAAGTAAGTCAGTCTCCATAAGCAACTCAAATCTGAATCTTTCCAGTTTCCATAAGCATTCAGAAATTGCCATGAGTTTGTTTTTTGGAGGGTTTATTTTCTTAATTACTCTCTCCCTCCCATGGACCTTAGGTACCGCACAGACTATCATCTTAATGTACTAACAAGTGGCAAGTCTGGTGGATGACTTCCACTGCCTTCCCAACGTTTTCTTACCTCAACAGAACTATTTGTTGAGCCTCCTGCTGCTGTGTGTCTGCTGTATTGTTTGAACTGTTGCAATCCATCCTGCACAGCTTGTACCACTCCATTTCCCCACTGTGGGAAAGAGCCTTCTCTTGGTAGTGAACGGAGCTCCGAAATGCAGGCCTGAATTTGTGCAAAGCTTTCTTTCACTTGCTGCAAAACAGTATTTGATGACATTGAAAGACTGGAAATGTCAAACTGACAATATGAAATATTTTTCTGTAACATGGAGGGAGGCTTTTGAATTCACAGCACTGAGATAAGACTGGGGCAGGAGCCAAGTTATAAGGCAGCGAACAGCGATATGAATCAAAACCAGCTGATTGTTATGCTAGTAACAACACACGTGATCACTCCTCAAGTTTCCAGCTGTCTACCTGTTGCCTGCTGCTAGCCAAAATGTAGTAGTTCAGCATGCCCCTCTCTGCTGGCCCTGCATAACACAAAGGCAGAACTTGAGACATGAATAGGAGCACTGAGGTAGTGTGATATCCCCAGGCCACAGTTCCCCCTGCTATATCCATGCTCCTTCACTCATCGAGCTGTGGACCCCTGGAACCTGCGTTCAGGAGGGTTTGGAGTCAGACTGTGGCAACAGGTTCAAAAAGGGGTTCCACAAACTCAGGCGTAACAGGTCAAGAAGCAGGTATCAAGAGGAATAGCCTCAAATGTATCCTCCATGATTCTTAATACAACAGCTGTGGAACTAGGGGAGTGTGAGGAGAGTGAACTGCAGAAAGTGAGTGGGTCAGGGCATTCCCCCAAAACAGCCTTTTCTGTTGAGACTGGGCTGATGGACCGTTGGCCTGACTCAGGAGGGCATTTCTAATGCTCTTACACTGCTCCTTTAGGACATTCACCACAGTAATGATCATCGAAAAAGCAAACGCTGGTGGAAGGTCTGTGGACCCTCCTGTTTCAAAGATGAGCTACCAGAGCAAGTGTTAGAAATGAAAAACTATTCTATAGCTGTCATCTGTAAAAAATGTTCTATTCCTTTAGGCAACAGCTACTGCTGCACAATGGCTGCCCCAGGGACAGCCGGTCTCACTCATTATGGCAAGATGAATGTTGTAAATGCACAGATTATTAACCCATTGTGCTCCACGATGATGCTTTACATCAGTCGCATGGATTGGAGGATATTGAGCCATATTCTTACTGCCTGCTCTAGTGATTTAGATTACCTGCAGCCCAGGCCGGCTGAACCCTTATATAACATACGTTGCTCAGCACTTCCTTGACCTTGGTATCACTTTATAGTGGTCACCCAAATCCACAGAAGGCAGTCTGAATACAAACCAGGCTGGCCAGGATCATGGTAGACCCCTCTCATGCTCTTTCTCCACACAATATTAGTCGAGGCTACCTGGTATCTGTTACTGAGCCATGACCTTTCCTTAGCACAGACAGGAAAATGCTAGGGAGCACCCAGGATCCAAAGGTGTGTGGAGCATCTCAGCTAGTCTTCACGCAGATGTCAGCTCACCTGAGCTTCAACAAGAACTCAAAGGAGCTGAGAGGTCAACTGTCAAATTCTGGCCATAGGAGAGATTATTAGTTTGAAGCAATATAAGACACTGCGGAGGTCACCTTCCTCACGGAAGAGGCAATAGATGAACATATGACCCATTTGCTTCAGAAGCTTGGAGCTCTCACTCACTGAACCACTCCTGAGCAGCCATGTTTACAGCACAGTCTTGCAGCATAACCAGGTTATGAACCGGGGGCTCAGGCATGAGTTCACAAACAGCTCCGATGGTTCTGCAAATAAGGTGGGGAAGAAAGTTGGGTCTGGTGAAGAAAGCAGTCTTAAGTAAAGACACCGCACTTTGTACTCTACAGTGCAAGAAGTGTCTGGCCCATTATGTCAGTTCTCCTGTGAAGTTAGCAATCTTTGATAAATGTACCAAGAAGATGCAGCCAGGAGCCTCTTCAAAGTGCTACAGCAACATTCCCTGCAGTTCAGATGCTCTTCTGCAATCCCAGGAGGCAGCTGCAGCTCACGCAGATGTAAACCAGCTGCCTCAGGTCCAGTATTGCCCCTAACTGTGGCAGAACAGGGCTCAGCACAGGCTGCAGGGTAGCCTGAAGTCCAGCTAAGTACCTGTCCTTTGGAACTGGCACCAGCAGAGTTGCATTTTCTCTTGTATATGAAGAGCTACTTTAAATGTTACCTTAGGCGAGCCCCCTCCTAAGTCGATGCTAGTTTCAACTCTGGCGTAGGCTTGGGACGCGAGTTAAACTTCTAAGCACAAATTGTGTTGTTTAACTGTTTCTGACTGCACTCATCTTCTGGGCGTTGACACCCAGCCCAGTGCCACAGGCCTTGACGTGTCTCTTCACATGTGACCCTGCTCTTTCGTTACACAATTCCAATAATTCATAACTCCATGCTGTGCGTCCAGCAAGACATTTTAATCTGCAACACTACATTGCTTCCAGAGAGAAGCTGCCAAAATGAGAGATGAAAGCTGGCCATGAGCTGGGGTACGCGCTGTGCTCCTGCCCTCTCTGGGTCCTTCTGACTTCACTTCCGTAACTCGCTAGTCCCTGTAGTTAATGTCTTTCTCTCCTTGTTTATTTTTCAGCCCTTTTTTGTCAGAGAGGGGCTCGGAGCTGTGGGGGATGGCTGCCCATCCCAAGGGAAAACCAGTAGGAAGAGGGCCCGTCAGCTGGAGGTGCTCTGCTCAGAGTCCTTAGTCACACGTTAAAATTTTTTAATGCTTTAACGCTCACTTACCCTGTTGTCACCATCTGTTGTCCTCCACAGTTGTTTACTTTCTTCCTGGTTTCCTTTTCTTTGGCATTCCCCTGCACTTTCCAGGGAAGCTCTTTGGACTTGTTAAGAGTTAGGCCAGTAGGGGAGACCAGTAGGAACAGAGACCATAAACAAATGTCCAGGAAAGACTTAAGAAAAGGGTAACCGTACGTGACACTTTCCCGTGTACTCTCCCAGTCTCCACTTTCAGCTCCAGGGCTTTCCTGGCTTCATATGATTTGTCTAATAAGCAACATTTAATATAGCTCTGTCATGGTCCTCACTGAGAAGTATCAAGTTTTTCTCTAGCTAGATCAGAAAGTCAATGTGATCAACAGCATGCCCTGTGGAGACAAAAGGGCAAATTCAGGAGCGCAGAAAAACCAATGAAACCCTGGTATTTCTGAAGAAGGCTGAAATGGAACAGATGTTTATCAGGTAGAGAGGTAAAACTGCTCCTGATTCCAGAAGATGCAGAGGATCAGATACCATTATTAGTAAAATTAGGTCCTCTGAAGAAGTTAGTCATCTTGCTATAGTTTACTGTTCCAAATAGAGAAAGAACAGTTCTGAAAAACAGCCTTCAGTGCAACAGCAGTTGTCTAAAATAAAGAGATGGCTCACTAGGCAGGACATCCAAGCAAAGCTGGGGAGAAGGGGAGTGGGGGCTCACGCTAGAGCTGTGCCTGTCAACCAGGTGTGCACTACTGGCTCGAAGTCTTTGAGTGTGAACTTTGCTGTACTGGACAAGTGCCAGAGAAACACAATACGACGGCAAAAGAGTTGATGCGATTACCAGTTGTTCAAACAGGAGGCGGGGGTATTTTTTAGCTCTCTGTACAGGATTGCTGAGTCCAGTATTGGAATGTAGCATCCAAAAAAACAGAAGAGTGAATACATAGAAGGGCTTGTAAAGTTGTTAAGGGCCTGTAAAAATGCCTTGCAGTTAGACGTACGCTTTGTTCTCTTTCATTTACCAGCTAGGAGATTGAGAAGGGACCTCCTTATATTTAGAAGTAAGTAAGTATAAAATACAAGCAGGTTCTTCAATATAGCCAAAAGAGGAAATATATCAACAAATCCCTGGAAGCTAAGTCAATAAATGCAAATTAGAAACCAGGTGCAAGTTTCGCAATGACAGTGATTAACCACTGGAAGACATTATCAGCAGAAGTACTTGATTCTCCGTCCTGTAATATCTTCAGATCAAAACCAGATGCCTTTCTGAAGGAAGTGCTTTAACGGTATATGGGTACTTTAGTGAAATATAATAGCCTGTAATATGAAGGAAGACAAACAGTGATCTAAGGGTTCCTCTGCCTTTAAAAACTGTGATTATCAAAATGAGGTATTGCTATTTAAATAAAAAAGACAGCCTATCATGAGCGGGTAGGATGGGGCAAGTAGAGGGATCGTGTCAAAGAAAAGTTGTGCTCTGGTAACCCACGATTACCAAATGAGATCTCAGGTTGCTGTCAGCCGGCACCTGTTGGATCAGTGTCAGGACATACCTAGCTATAATACAAAAGCAGGTGTTTGTCCCCAAGCGCTTACAAAGTAACTTGGACATAATGCAAAATCACAGAAAACAGGCCTGGAACCCGCTGTGAAACAGTTTACCTAGTCCATCCTACCGTAACATGAATTACATGTAAATTCATCCTACGAAGCAAGACAACTGTCTGTTCTTAAAGCCCCTAATCATAGTGATTTCACAGTATCTCCAGAAAACGTTTCTCTGGTATCCCTTTAGTTACCCTTTTCACATTATCTATAACCTGTTCTACAAAGTAAACACCACCATTAGCCACGCTCTTCTTACAGACCCCATTTGCTAAATCACTGTTGACCTATGATTATTTTTCCCAGTTGGCCTCTACCTTTCCTGAGATATGAAAACTCGACAGAATGTTTTCGCTATTGTTGAATAAAGTGGAAGGGTTAATACTGTGTGTTTGCACTAACGTAGTGCAAGTGAGGGTGCTCAGCGTGACTGTTTATAATAGTATGACTTCACAGATTCTTGCTAACTTTATGATGCTTTATAATCCCAACCTTTTATTGTAGAGCTGCTAGTCATTCTCCATCTATATTTATTCTGCTGCATATCCCTAGATGAGTGAAATACTTGTTCTTCCTTAGATTTCTATATTTAAAAGACATCTAGATGAGGCACTTAGGGACTTGGTTTAGTGGTGGACTTGGCAGTGCTAGGCTTACAGTTGAAGTCGATGATCCTAAGGGTCTTTTCCAACCTAAATGATTCTATCATTCTGTAATTTCAGAATGTTTCTCAAATTTGGTAAAAATATTTTGAGTTCTGATCCTTTCCCCTTAAATGTCTGGAACCTCTCCCAAAGTGGTAATATTTGTGTAATCAACAGGTGTACAGACCATTTCACCATCCAAATTACTACAGCTGTAGAGTCGTGTTGGATAATTTTGATAGAGAAGCAATACAGATCATGCAGAAAGTAGCATATGAAGGGAGAAATACAACAGATGTTTTAGAAGGGAACAGCACAAAACCTAATTTATGCACATGAGCAACTTCACAGATCAAAAATATGACATTCCTCCTTTCAAACATCATTCTTTCATAAAATTCACCTCTTCCATGAAGTCTATGGAACAATGCTCTTTGAGACTGATTAATTTTTAGATATATGCTTGTAGTAAATCAAAACTTTCTTTACTGAACTGCAACAATATATGGCATTCATGTTTGTTGGAAACCAAGAGACAGAATTTCACACCTACCGTAAAGGGAAGCACACACTCCTGCTGGTTCTGCACCATGTAGAGGCTCAGCAGGGGAACACGGCAGGGGCCTGCCAAACTGCACGCCAAACAGAGCGTGTTTTCCAGAGCTTCAGAGAGTACAGAACAAGTGTTGGTCCAGGAAGGTGATGTGACATCCACAATGAGAATCCGTGATGGCTGCTGGCAGTGTACTTTAGTAGCAGGAAATGTTCTCCGTGTTTCTGAGAGTAATTTTCTGGAATTCATGGCTTCTGAACATGGGTATGAGATGTCTAGTTATCCATCTGCACCTGAACAGGAAAAATGAAAAAATACTAGCAGTGAGTGAGACTCTCCCTTTCCCATTCACTTGAAAGCCATCTGAGACATACCAGACAGTAATGAATTGGACTCCCACAGCTCTCTCCAAAGCAATCATTATCCATACTCTAAGACAGACTCCCACAAAGACAAAGGAAAATGCATACGGTCAGAAAACAAAATGGTTCAACTAAAGAAAATGCACGGCAGATACACTCTTACGGACGCAGCTGGAGCATGCCTAGCCCACGGATGAGCTGTGCGGTGTGTTGCGTGATCCTGCCGTATGGATGGCTCAGGTGCGTGGCATCAATCTCCAGCAGAGAAGTGGTCTCCAGCAGCTGGTGGATAGCAAGACTTTGAACTCCTGCTCCTACTTCTGCAGTGGCCAAGTGATTATACCCAAACACCCTGAGGAGAACACAGTCCCCACTCCTTGATACCCAGTATGAGACAAGTAGCTGTCATATCCAAAAAAGGCCAGCATGATGCAGCAAGAAAATATTGCATTTACATAGATTTTCCTTTGTGGATGGTGGAGAACCAACCTTTGTCCTTCATAGCATCCGGCACCTGGGTTAGCTCTCTGCACCGACAGAAGCCTCGATGAATGTAGCACTAAGGTTGCCCAGCAGTATCCCGTTCTGTTCAAGAACGTGGGAGTGCTGCAAGCCGTAAAAGATATGTAATGTCAGAAAGTATTTTCAGCCAAACACCAGCTTTGATTCCCAGAGCTGGCTGGAGATGCTGGGAATGCTGTGCACGGAGATGGCTGTGCTTCATGTGTCACAGAGCTGTGCCAAATGACGCAGAGTTTTGTTAGAAGAGCTCCGTGATGCTGTCAGCGTTGCAGGTGACAGCTTGTACGAGGAAGGAAAGACACGGGCTCCTCAGCTCCCAGGTCCTGTGTGTGTCTGGGAAGGGAGGTGGTTCTCGTTGCAGTGCCCTAGGAGACCACGGATCCCTTAGGAACACGGACAGAGTATGTGGTCAGGACATGTTTCTCCCCCACCTCTTTTTGTGTTTCCTTTCAAATAGCCACACTTTCATCCAGCAGCATCACTACCTATCTCTGCAAGCATAAGGCTCAGCTGGTGCTGCTTTGAGAGACTTCCTCACAATCTTTAAGAAAATTTCACTGTTTCTGTGAAACAGTAAGCAGAGAAGCAGCGAGACGCAAAACAGAAGGACTGTGCTGTCAGATCTTGTGTCTTTCCTGTGCCTCACGTGTACAAAACAGAGGAAACCACTCAGCCCTAAGACCAGAGTGAGCACCTTGTAGTTTGGCTCAAAGGTTTAGACGCACAGTATTCACACGCACTCATCCTCAGACCTTGAATATGACATTCATTCCCCCCCATTTCCCTTCAATGCATACATCTTAACCACAAAAGCCAGCGTTCTTCTGTTAAAAGAATATTTTTTGTTCATCATGAACTAAGATCCTGCCTAAAATCTCCTCTTCATTAAATCTAAACATATCTGCACAAAGCACTCAGTGCTGTTTCTAAGGATACAGAAAACGCTTTAAAAATGTGTCTTGGTCTTGGTAATAACAGTGGTACATAACTGTACAAGTCTGCTTGTGCCCAGAAAAGTGTTTGTATAATTGCATATTCCTCCTCAATATGAACCAGAATAAATTCTTTCTTCCTACAGCTGTGTAAATCCCCAGCACGCTTAGTAAAAGTTTCAAGTGACTCTGGATTTATATAGTTGGGCTCTGGTCAGAACCCAGGCCAGTATGCATTCCTGTAATTTGTGTGGTATGTTCAGCTGAGACAAATAACTCTTTTGTGTTCACCAAGGAGCACAAGTTACTATATTTCCTACAGCCTCCAGCACTTTGGAGTAAGAATTTCTATTAAGTCTTGAAAACAGCGAGAAATACATTTCTAGTTGATTGAAGTATCATGAGAAAAAAAAACTCTGTATCTCTGGGATGTCTGTTAGTGAAGGCAAAACAGAGTGACTGCAGATGGAATTTCAAAACCGAGGCTAACATTTAGAACTGGTGAAAACGTTAGAGAGAAAAAGAGAGAGATCATGTACATACATGTAGGTATCTTGCTTTGACTAGTAACCTGATATAATTCATTGGAAAATGAAAAGACACCACTTTAATCAGTGTCTCTTCCGGAGCTTCACAACTTACAGGAGAGTTTACTAAATTACTTCGCTGAATCTGGGAAAATACTCGCCTGTCTGTATTTTTTGTGATGAGGCTTCACGCTACTGAACACTGCAAGCCCCCAGTGCTTTCCCAAACAAGGAAACAAAACCCATCTGGCAGTCAGAAATCTGGAAGAGCTGGGTCTTGGATCTGCATTTGTTTCGGAGAGAAAAATGAGCCTTGATTCCGAAAAAGACACAGTTTTCCTAAATTTGGATGCATTCTCTCATTCTTGACATTGTACAGGACTATAACTTATTTTTAACTGCTTTAGTAAAACGGATCCCTCACCAGCTACGCTCTCAATCAACAGAATCATGTCTTAATTAATCCCTGCTTAGCAATATTCATATGATTTTCATGCAGTTCTCTGTACAGTATTTGACATGCAGTGTAAACTGCTCACCTCTTTTACAGCCTACACCAGGTACACTTAGCTGCAATGAGGGTGGATAACTGGAGAATTCTCTGTAATAGTTTAACTGGTTGCTATGGTAAAACCACATCTTCATTTAAGCAGCAAGTGCCCTGACGGAGAGCCTAGCCTAAGGGATTACACCAAAATTCAGTGTGCTTGAGTGAAAACTGTTCTAGCAGCTGATATGACATTAACTTATTGCTCAATAAAACAGAACTTACCCACTGTCAGAGCTAGTTGCTAATGGTGATGCACAGTTTGCTCAATGCAAGAAGACATACATTTTTCAGAACCAGGGAGTCAGGGACAGAAAGAAAACTTTGCTGTATTGAGTGACTGGTGAATGCTGACAACGTTCCGCAGTTGCGTATTATCCTGTGCGCTTAACTGGTTCCAGTTATACAAAACCATTAAATAATAACCAAGTCTAAAAAAGTGTATATGAGAAGCAACACTAAAGCACTAGTTAAAGAATACTAAGGATAGCCTCCATCTTCTTTCTAATACAAGAACCAGCAAAACTTGGATCCAGCCTCACTCTAAGTGGGAAGGAAAAACCCACAAAAATGTGCATAATGAGTGTAAGTTAAGAATGCCTTACCGGGTAGCTAAGCCCTACAGCTATGAAGACAACTACTTTGACAGTGGTCTATTTACCGAGAAGTAGGGAGTAAAACCTGGAGATGCAATAGTAATCAATACAAGCTATTGGCAAGGAAATGCACACAAAACGGTGAACAAAAGGCACCAACAAACAGTAACGGCCAACAGGTTTAAGAACAACAAAAACTTACTCTGTAAATTATTAAAAAATAAGAGGCACTCCTTAAACACATCAAGAACAAAAGACAATCTCAAAATAGTATAAATCTGCTATTAGCTCATAAGGATATGATTTTCTTTAATGATGCAGAAAATATGTTCAATAAATATCTTGACCTGCATTTAGAAAAAATCACTGATAACTAATTATTGTCTTTTTAATTAGTGGTTAGAAAGGATATTAACCGGCAGCTGCTAGGAGTGTGAGTTTTACATTTCAGAAAGGGGATCTTTGTGCCCAGGGGCTCTTTGAACCATTCCTGTCAACCTTCAACTCATCTCAGAGCTGTGCAAGTCCCAAGTAACCACAGTGTTCTTTTTTAAACAAAAGTATGCAAAACAATTCAGATAGCAATAGCCTATTTGTCATAATGTACATTCCAGGCAAACTCATAGAGACAGTGACATAATGCAGTCGATAACAAATTAAAAAACAGTCGCGTAATTATGCAAAATAAATCTCATTGATCAACAGATTTTAGTAGGCTCACATTTGGCCTAAGTGGTCAAGACGGGAGTGCCAGCAGAGTATAATTTGCCTCTATGAAGCACTCCATTCAAACCCAATTGGTTTTAGTCACCATATCACTATAAAAAGCAATTAAACCCTCAATGAACAGATTAAGAGCTTGTTAATGGAGAAATTGCAGGTATCTATACATGAGGACTATTCAGTAAAATGTTTCCGCTGCAGTGACACAGCAATGTGTTTATTACTTAATCGGGTAGAAACTAGACGATGCACAAAAATTTACCTCATAAAATTTATAGAAGACATAAACACTGACACTGCAAAGAAGAATTTATAAGGGCTTATCACAGTTGCTTATGGGCTCATTTGCATACTATGCATTTTAATATAGCTAAATGCAATTAACCAAAAGAGCAGCAGAGGATGAGTTTACCTCGCCTTCAACTCAGGAAGTGCCCTCGCTGTAACCAGCTAGAGGCAGGAGAGCGGCCTGAGGCAGCATCACTGCAGGCTCATCCTCTTCCTACGCTCTGCCTGAAGCACTCGCTGTGGGCCACAAGGTCATGGAGGAGATGGGTCTGGGGTCTCACCCTGCATCACTGTTTTCATGTATTTCTCATTTGGAGTTTCAAAGTAGTTGGTTTAAAAATGTGCCATTTTTCTGATTAAGCTTCGAGACCCTGGGAAACGCGAATATTCTCACGTAGAAAACAGATCAAGCTGCGTCAATAAGTGGGTTCACTAGAGAGAAAAACAGCAAGCCATCAAGAAGCCTGAGCCATGAAGCGGCTATGCAGTGTGGATGGCCTCTGGTTTATATCGTTTTGTCTACCTAGCCTAGAAAGGAAAGCATTTATTTAAAAAAGGTCAGGATGAACAGAAGACTAAAAACAAACAAACACACAAAAGTTGGCATAAAACCAAGCTACTGGAAACAAAATTATTCAAGATCCTACATAACAGAAGATGCTACATGTTTTTCTAACCACCAGTGCTATAACCAATAATAAATAGGTGGCTTTAGGCTTGTGCCTTCGTTGACATAAAATCACCAAATCTTAGTAAGAATAGTCACTTTATCATAGCGTTAAAATCACTTGTTATAACCTTCAG